ACCGGTTGTAATTAAGGTAGCTGGCGCCTATTAGTGTTACTTCCATTAGCTGTATTCTTATGAAGACGTATGGCGGTTGGTCATTGACAAATATATAGAAACTATCAGTTGTTCATTTTGAACTACTGATGGTAACTGGGAAAAGTAACTAGCATGCTACCAGTATGTTATACATTACAACTCATGGCCGGCGGAACCAGGGGGACCGGAGGGGCCCGCCCCTTCCCCCCAATTGATTTTTGTATGATCGGAAAGAAATTCCCCTTTCCCCCACTTTGAAAAACGTTTCGTCAGCCCTGTAACTTGATATGAAACAATTTCCCTAAATTAAGGAATGTTGGTATTATGGTTCAGTATAGTTTGATGAATAAAAAATTTATAGCCAGGTTCATGAAATGGGTTGTTGCACCCCTTTTCCTCCAGTATTTAAATATTCAAAATCTGTATCTCATTAACCATCAACATCAGGTGTGCGCTTTTTTTTCCTGTTCGTTTTCGCAGTTTGATTAAATTGATTAAAATTTATGCCATGCTTGGCCGCTGCCACATTTTATTATCAGAAAGACTGTTTATTTTTTTATTTATATTTTCTTTGTTTTTTCAGGATGATTTGTGGTCCATAGGTACCTTCCTCTTCTTGATGAATTAAATTATAGGTTTTAAAATATTGAAATTAACAACAGCCTACTGTATATACAGTAGGTTGATGCTTTCTACTAGAAGTGATAATAATGTATGAATATTCATATAGATATTGAGATATTCTTAACCAACAACAGTTCTTTTCAGAAATATCTACATGGTGTACCGCAAGCATTAATACATATTATTACTTCGCCGTGCAAACCTTCAAACATTATTATTGCTGCCAATAAATACAACATTAGTGACCATATGAGATCGATAATGTAATGCATTAGCCAGTTTATCTATTTTTCTACAAACAAAATTATGGGCAGGTAGACAAAAAATCAACCTGTATTAAATCTTTAGCAGAGAAAAAAACAAAATTACACTATAATGAGTATACTAAACAATAGTGTATTGTGATTGTACAATAATACAATATTGTGTTATATTGTTATAGTATCAGTTGGCCTCTCTCTTAATATTGACAAATAAAATTATATGCCAATAAATTAAGAACATCAATAAACTGTGTCAGTTGGGACAATTTTTACTACTGTGACTAACAACAAAGGAAAAACTTTTACTGATAATAGTATCGCTAAATATTAGTTTTATGAATATTTTGATATATAATGGATTGTTTCATTTTAATGAATAAATAATATAGGCTAATAAATTAAAAATATTTAAGCTTGTATAAGTTGGCAATTTTCACAGTTGAAAAAGAACATATAGCTAAAGCATACTATTAATCTTCTACCTCTATTATATTGTACTTTGTATACACATTGTTTTGGAATTATAAATATAAATATTATAATATAAATATTATAATATAAATATTATAATATAAATAAAATAGGGTGTGGTTCTTATATGCGCAACAAATACAAATTTTTGATTTTTAAATAATGTTCGTCTTACGTACAGATGTTTTGTAACACGCAAATTTACTGAAATGAAGCTGCTGTGTTAGTATGAATGAACGCAATCAGTGATGAACATCTTACACGCCTGACATTCAAAAATTGTCAAAAAATCTTCTCGAATTCAGGGGTCATCTTAATACATGGATCACTTTTATACGCAAGTTTATACGGTAATTTATCTAAAATTCAGAAGAAAAATAATGATCTCCAAAGAATAAACAAAATTATTACATTATTGTTATATATTTATCTTTTTAATAAACATTATTATTTATTTTGTCCAACACATTCTAGCATGATGACTTATGTTGATATCTGAAATATATCTTCGAATACTATTCTTATTAATACTTATTAATTATTATTACTTCTAATTTTTATTATCACTGATAATGAAAGCTTTGTTATTTTTTTATAATAATATCTATTCTTATCCATTTTATTTTATTTTAGTATATGTTATTATATTTATTTATTTCAATTTATAATTTATTAATATATTATAATTATTTTCTTTTTATTTATTGTTTATTATATTTCACATATACATTTCTCGTCACTGTACCACTTTGAAAATATAGTATGGTACTGTATAAAGAATGATAAAATAAATAAATTATATGATGTACATTGTTTCTATACTGTTGACCATTTCAATTGCAGATATTCTGTTAATTGGTATTTCAAATATGCTTCTGGAAGATTCCATTATATTATAGGTGGTTAACATAAATGTTGGAAAATTATATATTCAATATTTAAAGTCAACTAGTGTGGAGTTATAGCCTGGTAAAGGTTGCCTTCCTACCCCAGTGTCCTTGCTTCAAATTCTTTCAAAACCATTTCCCTCCACCTCCCCCCCCCAAAAAAAAATGCCATTTACTAGATAATTTTTAGTTTTCACCAGATAATTTTTAGTTTTCAACAGGTCTTCCTTTGGGTGTTGCTCTTCTTCTTTTTTAATAGCAGATTAATTTTAATATTCAACTCAATTTCATTGCAAATCAAATAACGTAATATAGTAGAATTCAAATGCATGGAATGAAAAGGAATGGGACAACCACAAACAAGCAAATAAAGCTTTCAAGCTATGGTGCCCTTTTGAGAAGAAAAATAAAGTAAAAAAAATATAATTATATACATTAATCAATGAAATTAATTAGTCGAATAATTTTCTAATCATTTAAGCAACTGATTAATCAATTATTCAATAAATAAATAAAGAATAATAATGTTAATACATGAAAATCAATGTCATGGTAAATATATAATGATAAATTAGTGAATAAATAATTTATAATAGATAAAACAATAACAATACTAACATTTTTAAAAACATATTTGATTATTTTGTTAATATGGATACATGAAGATTAAAATTCTTTTTAAGTAAATCATTTAAAACAAAAACAGCTAATTTTTTTAAATGATATTTATATATTAAAACATACATACAAATTATACATACATGCACTAATAATATATAAAAGGGGTCGATCAAAACAAATCATAATAAAGATTCGTTGACAGGATTTGTTGCTCCAACAAGTGAGGAGAATACTAGTATAAAGAATTCCCCATTAGTTTCTCCCTTAGCTATAGCCTTGTCACCATCTGTGTTTGTGCCTCTACCATGTGAAAACATTATCAGGATGCTATTTGCATCTTTGTTGTTATTACCTTTGGAAATGTAATCAATAATAATTACGTTTACATCAGCAACATCATTATACATGAGTTAGTGCCAGTAACAATGTTTCATAAATGAGGTTTAATTTACTTGGGAGTTGCGTTGATGACATTCACTCTATATTTATTAATGCTAATGAACAAAAATGGTTATCTAAAAGAGTCTGATACTGTAAAGTAGAAATTATGCAACAGAACATAGTTGTTTTGAGCAATTATGTTACTTCAAAATACTGGTTCTTGCATTCAAGTCGCTGTCTGACTTACTGTATGCCCTAAATATATCTCTGACATTTTACATGTAGGTAAAAAGCAAATTCATACCAGATGGGCTTTTTTGAACGTAAATTTTCATATATATTCAACAAACGTATTGGCAACAAATCTTATCGGTGTGAGGTGCCATTCACCTGGAAAATCTTCCAGTGCACATTCAATCTTCACCACTTCTAGCTGTCTTTAGGTCTAACTTAAAGACTCACCTCTTTAATTAATATTCTTCATTCTTTATTCCTTAGTATTTTATTGATTATTGCATTATTTATTTATGATTCCGTACTTGCCACTGCTTCTTTCGATTTGTTTACTTGTTCTGTGCTTGGGTTGGGCATTGATCATAACTGCCTGTGGGCTTTGAAGTGCTTGAACATGTGGGTCGCAGCGCTTCGTATCTGTCAAGAAAGGCACTTTATAAATGACCAGATTGGATTGGAAAATTCTTGAGTGAGAAATAATAGTAATATGTAATTATAATAATAATAATATTATTATATATTATATATTAACAGCACATAGATTAGTTCTGAAAAGAACTGTTGTTGGTTGAGAAAGTCTTGACGTTTTGTTTTATAATAATAATATTATTTAATTGTTTGTAATGTGCCTGTTTCTATAAAAAAAAATGTGGGCACAAGCAATTGTTCAGTTAGTATGGTTTGTGACTTGGGTGTTGTATTGTCCCTCCCGCATGTTGCAGAGACAGTATATATTGTTAGGACCTTAGTGGAGTGAGGTTTCTACCCCATGTTTAGTTTGATTGACAGGCTGACTTTGTTTTGATCCATGTGCATTGAAAGTTGAGGAGTTTTAAATCATTCAATCAATAAACTTCATTTCGGAAACAATTCTATTGATAACAAAATACACTGTACAACCCAAAAAAGAGCTCTGTGTGCCAAGTTCTAGTTGTCAAATAAAACTTGTTTTTAAAAGTATTATAATATTTTTTTCTGTACAACAATTATCAAATATGACCAGGGAAAGCTTTGTATCTGCAAGGAAAGGCGCTATAATAATGAGTAAATTGTAGATAAATAAGTAAATGGCGGGCAGGCAATTGAGCAAGTTGGCGACGGGTGGATGGGCGGACAGGCAGAATCTGTATTTTTTCAGATTTTACCTCAGTATATGTTTTAAGTTAGGCCCTATAAAATATATTATTAGTTTATATCACCCTAAAAAAGTGATGAGGGGAGGGAGGCTTTTTCTTTTCTTTTTTTTTTGGCTGAAGATATAAATCACCCTTGGGTTGTTTGCTGGTGCATTGATATATTCAAAGTAAAACATTATTGAGATAATACAAACAAAATCTACTATTTAATAAAAAAAAAATGAAAAAAAAAAAAATTGAAAATATATATTTTTGTCAGTACCATAGAATACATGCTTTCGAGGGTGATAAACTAATATTTTTTTTATTGGGGTTACCTTAATTGCTACTTTTGTACTTAATTTATTTTGTTTTTCCTACAGATATATGAAGATTCAGTCAAGAATAATGAATTGAAGGAAGTGTATGTGGATGGAAATGAATTAGTAGCAAAAGTAGCAACAAATTGGGTTTCTTTACTAGAAAAAAAGAAGACCGCAGTTAAGGTAGAGTATATTATTATGATTATTTATTTATTTTTAAAAATTTCATTCATGAGGGATTACTCGGGCCTTTTAGAATATACATGATCAGGCACTAGGGGCCATTGAAAATTTAAAGTATGACAAAATGTTGTGGTATCATAGGTGCAAAGCTCAATTAAAAAGGCATAGTTAAATAGAGAAATTTGAAATGCGCGAGTGACTACACTAGTTGGCTGGTGGTGTGGGCATCAGGGTGCTACGACGATCTGACCAATTAAAACAACTTGTAATCTTGTAATTTAATGATGATAGTGGCGATAACTAAGGATGATGTGATAATAGTGATGATTATGGTAATAATTTAAAATGATAATGATAATTGATAACGATGATGATGATAATGGTGATAATTAAAGATCAGGATAATAAATGGGGATAATTTATGATGTTGATAACAATGATGATGATGATGATGATAATGAGAATAATGATAAGGATTATATGATAATGATGAGGGGGATAAGTATCTAATTACAAAATGATAATTCATTTTGCAATAAATATAGTACAGGCTAACTTGATGAAAATCGTATACTGTCCAGACTATCAAATATATCATGCCTAAATATGGTATGATAACATCATGTCAAGACCATATATAGGCACTTCATGACTATATATGGGCATACAACAGTTTTTTTGTTAAATTTTCTTTCATGAAGCCAGTACAGAACATGTTTTTAATCAGAGAAAATTAAAGTTCTATTCACGCTATCAAATTTTATGTGATAAATAAATGTAATATAGGCTTATCTTTAGGTGTAATGTGACATTGTCATTCCCATATATGGCCACATCACACCAATTTGTCACATAAACTTTGATAGTGTAGGCAGACAATAAATAGATGTGGAGATCCTTTGATGATAAAAGCATCTGTGTGTTAGTATCATGTGATCATCAATTACCTTGTGTCGGAAATTAACAGATTGACATTGTAGGGGTCGTTGAAGCGAGTTATTACAATTCGTTGTGCACTCAGCTTATTAGGCCTAGATTGACTGAGATGTGCAGTGGTCATGAATGATTTCAATTTTGACCTGATGATACTCTAGCTGAAGTCAATATCAATGACAGATTACATTGAAAAAAAAATACATACCATTTTGGTGTGTGTTGTGAATGGCTAGCTCTTAAGCCTTGAAATAGACTATGAAATTTTATTTGACAAAAACTTGTGACGTGCCTAAATATGGCCATGATGATGACATCACATCACATCATGACCATATATAGGCACATCATGACTATATATGGGCATATAACAGTTTTTTTTGTCAATGAAAATTTTATAATTTGGAGAGCTTTAGATGTAATAACAAAAACCTTTTTATTTATTTTTTTTTTTCTTTTCAGAAAATCGTTGAATTCTTAGAAAATTCATCTTTAACAACTCCATACTCTGCGGTAAATGGTTTTTTATGTTCTTTGCTTTTAAGGAATAAATTACAACTATCAGGAGTGATACACATGTTGTTATTGTTGATGATGATCAGGGTAGTAGATGGGGAGATTCATGGTTGTGGTATGTGATAGGCATGCTGGTTAGAGGAGAGAATAGAGATAGAGTATGTGATAGTTGAGTAGAGTGAGGTAGGATCATTGTTGGCTCCAAAAATTAGTCAACAATAGGGGTGGTACAACAAGTCCAACAGGGAGTCTGAACTAAATAGGCCACCTAGGGACTTGGTAAAATCCCTGGTCGGGTTCATCAGGGGGTGATTTTATGGTTTAGGGTGGTCCAGAATTATGCTTTTAGACCATAATATTAGGATTTAACAATGAAAATTATATTGTTGGGATTGGTAAATTAATATTTCTAGTCTGATAATCTTGTTTTCGTGTTTGACCATGAAGAGGTCCATGCATTTCCAATGGGGGGTATTTTTCCCAGATACCTGCTAGCACTGCCTCAGGGTTAGATGTAGAGATAGATAATAGTAACGAGGAAAGAAAAATGTAAATATGAAATATGGTAATTTTTAATTTTTTGGGACAGAAGATGGTATGGCCCAATAAGATATTTAGTTTATCACCCTAGCGCTCATGTCTTCTATGGTATTACAAAAAAATATTTTTGAAGAAAACATTTTCTTTAAAAAAAAATTATATATAGGAGCTTAGAAGTATCCATAGGGGGAAACTAAAACAATGAAGAGGGTTAAAAACAGTACCTTAAGGCGAAAGTAGTGTCGCTAAGGGGAAACTAAAGCGA